ACTCATGGAGTAATGGATGGTTTTTCTAAGCAGAAGGATGGTCTGTATCTGATCGAAGATCCTCCTATAAAGAGAAAGAGTGAGATTATGAATAGAAATGCTGATATTCACTGCAATAGTGTGACAGTTGAGGTCTGGCACAGTAAACTAGGTCAGTATCCTGTCAACAGAATACCTTTTTTGAATGGAATAAAGTCTGTTTTTGTCAATAAAAATGCTGATTTTGTTTGTGATGCCTGTCATTTTGGTAAACATAAGAGGTCCAATTTCCCAGTTAGTACTTCTGGAGCTGAGAAAAGCTTTGATTTGTTGCATATGGATGTGTGGGGACCTTTTAGTGTAGCATCTTTGAGAGGAGACCATTATTTTCTCACCATAGTTGATGATTTTAGTAGGTTCACCTGGCTACACTTGTTGAGAAGTAAGTCAGAAGTCAAAGCCAAATTCCAAAGTTTTTATAACTATGTGTCTACTCAATTTGCAACCAAAGTTAAGATGGTGAGAACAGACAATGAAACTGAATTTTTAATGGGAGCCTTTCTAGATGAAAATGAAGTTATTCATCAGAAATCATGTTCTTATACACCACAACAAAATGGAGTAGCAGAGAGGAAACACCAGCATATCTTAAATATAGCTAGAACCTTGAGGTTTCATTCAGGGTTGCCTGCTGAATTTTGGGGACACTGTGTGTTGCATGCCTCTTTTCTCATTAATAGATTGCCTTATGAGGTCATTGGTGGAAAGACTCCTTTTGAGATGTTAACTGGGAAATGTGTAGACTATGGGCAGATGAGATCTTTTGGTTGCCTATGTTTTGGGGCAACCATTTCACAAGGAAGAAATAAAATGCAGACTAGGGCAAGAAAATGCATATTTTTGGGCTATCCAGCCAATGTGAAGGGCTATATCTTATATGATATTGTTGTTAAAGATGTATTCATATCAAGGGATGTAAAGTTTTATGAGAAAACCTATCCCTTCAGAAAGCAGGCTTTAGGAACTGACCTTGAAAGTGTTGATAGTCATGTTCTTAATCCTTCATTACCATTAATCCCCACTTCCACAGGTACAGAAACCATTTTGGAACATAATGGAAATTTTACCAGTGTTGAGAACAGAAATCCAGAATCTGCTGTTGATCAGGTTGTTGAAAGACAGGATATGCATCCCACTGAGTCAGTTGATGAACCAGTTGAACTTACAGTTGTTGAACCTACTGAATTGAGTAATGCAGGGCAAAATGAGCTGAGTGTTAACTATCATCCTCCACACAACTCAGAAAATCAAATACATCTCAGAAGATTTACCAGACAAAGACAAGCTTCCACCAAGTTGCTTGATTACTACTGTCACAATATGGTGGGAAACAGCTCAGGTATGAGGACTTCTCCCTATCCTATAAGCAAGTTCATTTCTTATGATAATTTACCACCTGATTATAAAGCCTGCATTGCTTCCATTACCACAACACATGAGCCACAATCTTACAATGAAGCTGTACAGTTTGAACCTTGGAGAAAGGCTATGAATTCTGAAATAGAGACCTTAGTTCAAAGTAACACTTGGACTCTGGTAGATCTACCTTAAGACAAAACACCAATTGGTTATAGATGGGTTTATAAAGTAAAACACAGGGCTGATGGGTCTATTGAGAGGTATAAAGCAAGATTGGTTGCAAAAGGTTACATTCAACAGTTGGGAATGGACTATTTTGAAACCTTCTCTCCTGTAGCTAGGATGACAACCATCAAGACTTTCCTAGCTATAGCAATAGCCAAAGGATGGGATATTCAGCAGCATGACATCAACAATGCTTTTTTACATGGGGATCTAGATGAGGAAGTGTAACAACCAAAAATTTAATTTCATAAATCCAATTTTAAGAAATTCTGAAATAGCCATTTTTCACTCCATAAAATTTTTTGCGTTAGAATCGCTGTTGAATAAATTATTTTGAGCCACTTTTAAGTAAATTCAACACCGGGACTTATTTTTAAATCTAAAATCCTAGATTTTTGGGTACATTGCGTACCAAGTTTTTGACCCAAAAGTCAATCTGAGTGAATCCGGAAGGAATCTGAGAAGCCTAAATCAAGTGTTTATCTAAGAATCATTTTTGGGAAATTCATCTTAACCCCAAACTATTTTAAATCTAGAATTCTGCCCTTGGTCCATGATACAAGGTGAACCCTAAAATTATATCTTTACATTTTTACCCCAAACCCAAACTATAAAGAAAAGTATTTTCCCTTGCTTCACTATCAAAAAGAAATCATCAGTAGCCCTCACCTCTCATCTTCCTCTCGTGACTCTCCCTCTCTCCATCTTCTTCATTTTAGAGCTTCTTATTCTTCCCAAAATTAGGGTTCAAGATTTCGTAAAATACCTCCTCCCATTTCCTTTGGTTAACTTATTTCTAAGATGAGATTATCTAAGCTAGATGTGTTTGTTTGTGTTGGTTGTTGCTTGAGAAATGGAGATGGTAAAGAAGAAGACCAAGCTTGAGGTTGGAGATGGAAGAATTCTTGAGGTTGAAGCTTGAGGTATAACCCCATGGACTCCCTCTTTTATTTTGGCTCTGTGAAGCCTATTTTATTGAGTAGAAATGAGTAGAAATTATGAGATTTTGTTGTGTTTATGCTTGGAAGTGATCTAGTATTTGTCTTTGAAGTGTTGAGAATGTTTTGGATGTTTTAGACATGTTTGGAATAATTTTTGCAGATGAAAATGTTCATCTGTGTGTGCACCAGATCAGACCAGCGGCCCTAGCCGCGGCCCATCAGGACGGCCGTCGGCTAGAGCCAGGGCCAACCGGGCCTAGGGCACAGCCCTAGGAGAGGGCCGTTGCCTAGGATCGGCAATGTAACGGGACACATGGGGCGGCTCTTGAGGAGTCCCGCCCCAGGTCCCTGAGTTTCATTCTGGGAAGATTTAATTTTGTTCAGTGGTCGAGCCCTTGTGGCTCAGTTACGTGTCGTTTCGGGCCAGCTGTTACGGGCCCTTGTGGCTCGATTCCTCGGGACAGTCTCGATGCACGTTTTGGCTTTGATTTCATTGAATTTGGATAAAAAAAATGAGTATGTTATGATGAATTCATTGAAGAAATTGTTGCACAGTATAATTGTTAAGTTCACTGTGAGGAAGAAAAGTTTTCCCTTGTTGTCTGATTTTATTTTTGTATAAAGTTGAGAAGCATGATCACTTGAGAATATGATTTATTTATGAAAGCATGACTAAATGTGATATTTGATCAATGAGTTTTGAAGAATATTTTATTGATAGAAATTGTATAGAATTTGCTATGTTGCAAACCGAGTGTGATATGATATCCTTGAGAATTTTATGGATTTTATACATGGTTTAGAAGCATGTTATAGAGTATTTTGCATCTCACATATATCATATTTCAAAAATGCATAAGGGGCCAACGTGAGCCCAAGTATTACTATCAAAAATCCATAAGCATGTGGTATATCATTCTTTGATGCATTGAGAAGTAGTAGAATTGTTGCATGCATGATATATATATATATATATATATATATATATATATATATATATATATATATATATATATGTATGTATGTATGTATTATCTATATCGGTGAGGTTTTGGAGGATCCCGTTTGGACTATGTCCTCTCGGATGATTTTATGGACATTGCGGTCCCAATATATGTAACACGGCGTATTCCCACGTTACGAGGTTGGAAACTGCCCGCCAGGCTTGGAATCCTGGTCAGGGGGTGTGCACACTAAAAGTTCGATACCTGATTCCACAGAGTTAGAGCATAGAACTAAGAGAGTGGTTCGGTGGACGAGCAGAGTATTAGGTCGGCTAGACGCCATGCCCAGATAGGTTCATTCACACTATGATGAAGTTCCTACCTCGTCCATTTAAAGAGAAAGTATGAGTCTTGAGACTCTAAAAGAGAAAGAATGAGTCATTGCGACTCTAAGAAAGAAAGAAGTGAGTCATTGCGACTCTAGAGAAAGAAAGAAAGAAAGCAAGTCATTTATGACTCAATGAGACCTCCACAGAAAGTACTCTATTTTTGCAATGACTGTATGAGTATATATTTATAGTATTGCATGAGATTGCATATGAGTATATTTATAGTATTGCACGAGATTGCATATGAGTATAGTATTGCACGAGATTGCATATGAGTATAATATTGCACGAGATTACATTTGAGTATAGTATTGCTTGAGTTCGCATTTTGAGAATGTCGATTTAAGATTGTACATTGAGCATGATTGTATAGTTGTATTTGAAGCTTTGTATATCCAGTTTACGTGATGAGAACTTGAGAGCATGAGAATACCTGTTGTATGGTTTATTAGTATGATACTACTTGTAAGCATGAGTCACTTGTTGAAGTATCTAAGTTGTTAAGTCTTATGTATCGAAGCATGCTTGTTGATATTATAGGTTGCAAGCATTTAGAAAGTATGTGATATGACTAAAGTTGTCTATGAGATGAGTTTGTTGCATACGAATGTTATCAAATGTTTGCAAAGTATATTCTATAGTACTTTACAGGGTTGAGTGCGGTTATACTTAGCTTCGTGCTAACGGGTGTTTTCCTATTTGTCTATGTGTTGCTTGCAAAACCCCTTTCAGGTGGGCCCAACAGTGAGAAGTGATCGAGTTAGACTAGTCTTTTAGATTGAGATGTCTAAACTCTTTATGACTTATTTATGTCGTTATCCATCGGATGTTAGACTTGTGATGATTCGTAGACGCTTGATGATGTAGACCTTTGGGGTGACTTTTTCCCCCTTATGATTTTCAATAATTGATATGGATATTAGATATTTATTTCATTTCTAGTTCTACCCTTAGCCTGTGCAATCACCACGGTGTGGTGGTTGTGCCGGTGACATTCCCACTAGTTATCTTTTTAGTTATTTATTCCGCTGCTTAGCTTATGATAATTCTGGTTTAGATTTGTGATTAAGAGTTAGAAAAGTGGGGTGTTACAGGAAGTTTATATGGTTCTACCCCCAGGATTTAAAAGTGATAAGCCCAATCAAGTCTGCAAATTGTTGTGGTCTTTATATGGTCTAAGACAGGCAAATAGACAATGGAATGCCAAGCTCACAAAGGCATTGCAAAACTGTGGTTTCCAACAGTCCACTGCTGATCCTTCACTGTTTACTAAGTCTACAAGTGATTCTTACCTTGCTTTGCTTGTATATGTAGATGATATCCTTGTGGCAGGTACAAACTCTGACCAGATCCAAGAGTTGAAGCAATCACTATAAGAAATCTTTCATTTCCAGACGAAAATTTTAACGACGCTCTAAAAAACGTCACTAAATATAATAATTTGTGACGTTATATTATAACGTCGCTATATATTTTGGTAGAGACAATAATTTTTATTTTTTTTGTAATATTTGCTGAAGAAATATAATTTTTTTGTCAGTAAAGATATAGAATCAATGACATTTTTTAATAAACGTCCCTAAATGTTTTGTTTTAAAAATTAATTTTAGCATAAAGCGTCAGGAAAAGTAAAAATATTTTGCGGGACCTTTTTATCATTTAGCATAAAATTGGTGTCTTTGTACGCTCTTTTTGTTAAAAACACACCGATTTTTTTAACCGTTGTCATTGGTATGTTGTCTTTAAGTGTACTTGAATACACAACACTACAAAGATAACGAATTTTAAAAACCGGTGTCTACGTGTTACTCCCTCCGTCCCATTTTATCTGTCTTACTTTCCTTTTTTGTCTGTCCCAAAATATTGTCTACTTTCCAAAAATAAACATCAATATTTAATTATTTTCCAATTTTGCCCTTTCAGATTCTATCACACTTGGTACCTAATATCAACAGGTGTCCATCCTGTCATCAACTCAATATTTTAATTAGACATAGTCCACAGCTGTCATCCACTATATCAAAACTAGTAAACATTTCATTTTAATGAAACAAGCTGAATCCCATATCTTCACCGCTCTCTTCTTTTGGTTCTTCTTCCTTTTCTTTAGTAGCCGGAGAAGCAGCTGTGGGGTAGCACCATCGGCAGTGGGAGCTGCAACAATGCCGCCACCAGCGCCCACGTTAAGATCATGATAAGATCCTAGAAATTCCTCTTTCTCACCGTGCTTTGCGAAGAGATTGAGCTAGTATGACTCCATGGAAACATTGGCCTCCTTCACTAGTGTAGCAGTCTTCACCATCTCTCAAATAGACGTTGCCATCCCAATCTCCGATCAATTTCATCAAGTTTAAGATTTTTATAACTCCATCTATTTCTTAACACCACTAGTTTTTGTCTTTTTTTTTTCCTAAATCTTTTTAAGTATTAAGTTCATTTATTTTGGTATAATTACTAGTGTATAAAGAACTAAAAGAAGAATGAAAGATACAGAAGGTATATGGGATTTGTTGGAGAAAGATGAAGAAATGGGTTTGTTGAAGAAAGATGAATAAATGTACAGATGAGAAGAAGAATTACGAAGAAATGCATTGTAGCAAAATTGTCAGTAAGGGCAAAAGAGAAAAGGGAGTGAGCTTTGTTTAACCTTCTTAAAATCCGTGCCAAAAGTAAATTAGACATACATTACGGGACTGAGGGAGTATATTTTTTGTTAAGACAATATCATAAGTGTGTTGTCTTTTAATTTTTCAACTTGCATCTTTAACACTTAAAATCTTTTTAATTTTTTTGTTTCCCACCGTAGCCTCACAACACTTTGTGAATTTTTTTTTTAGCTAATATTAGCCTCACTGCCTCCCAAACAAAATTCTTTTGTTTCATTTCCCTCCCAAACAACTTAATTTTTTTTTTTTTTGTTAGACACATCCTTTAAAATGAAGGATCTGGGAAAGCTGAATTATTTCCTGGGGATTGAAGCCTTGAGAACTCCAGATGGCCTCAATCTGTGCCAAAGAAAATATGCCTTATTCTTGAAGAAAGTGGGTTTTTGGATGCCAAACCTGCTAAGACGCCGTGCATCACAGGACAAAAACTTACAAATCTTGAAGGAAAGTTGCTTGAAAGTCCTGAAATTTACAGGAAATTGGTTGGCAAGCTCTTGTATTTAACCAATACAAGACCTGATATCACCTTTGCTGTCCAGCATTTGAGTCAATTTGTAGATAAACCAAGAAATGCACATTTGGTGGCAGCTCACAGGGTATTGAGATATCTCAAGGGGTCACCAGGCAAAGGATTGTTCTATACTTCTAAGTCTCAAATCAAACTCCAAGGCTTTTCTTATTCAGACTGGGCAACATGTGCTGAGACTAGGAAGTCTGTCACAGGGTACTGTATTTACCTTGGGAATTCCCTCATTTCCTAGAAAACCAAGAAGCAAGCTACTATCTCAAGGTCCTCATCCGAAGCTGAATATAGGGCCCTTGCATCCACACTGTGTGAGATTCAATGGCTTATCTATTTATTAGCAGATTTGAGAGCAAATTTCAAGCAATCCTATTCCTGTTTTTTGTGACAATCGTTCTGCTATTGCTAAAGGGGATAACCATGTGTTTCATGAGCGTACGAAACACATTGAAATCGATTGTCATGTGGTAAGGAAAAAGGTTAATGAAGGGGTGATTAAGTTGATGAATATTCATTCAAATCAGCGAGAGGCAGATGGTTTCACTAAGGCTTTGCCTAAGCCTTTATTTGACAGTTGTTAGAACATGGTTTAAATTATGTGGCTCTAATTAATGCATGGAGACTTTTTCCTCAACCTTCCGCATCGCACCGCATCGCATGCTGTCCACCTCTCTTGGACGTTATCCGCCTTCTGCTCTCCTCCTTACTATTGCCGCATAGCTCTCCTTTTTGTTGTATAAATAGTGTCATAGCCTTGTAATTATTGCATCATCAAGATTGAATTCTTTCTTCCTTTCTCACGTATGCATTAATATATATATTTCTTCCTTTAATTCTGATTTGAGAGTTTGTATATATATATATATATATATATATATATATATATATATATATATATATATATATATATATATATTATATTTTCCCACTTTATTAATTCTTTTGTCATTTATATATTTTCCTTATTATTTAACTTCTATAATTCTCACTTTTCGATTCTTTGCTTCCGCATTATTCCGCTATATTCCTAACAAGTGGTATCAAAGTGGTTTAATTGAGAGTTATTTTCAAAGATGTCAACTGTTACCAAGTTCGATATCGAGAAGTTCGGTGGGAAAATTAGCTTTTCTATCTGGAAGGTTCAGATGGAAGCCGTTCTTACCCAGAACGGTTTGAAGAAAGCGCTAGCTGGGAAGAAGAAGAAACCGGCTGCAATGACAGATGAAGATTGGGAAGATTTGGATGACAAGGCACGTTCAACCATTCAATTGTGCATGTCTAAAGAGGTTATACGTGAGGTGGTGAGTGAGAAGACTACGTCAGATTTATGGTCTGAGCCGGAGTCGCTTTATATGGCCAAATCTCTGGCGAACAAGCTGCGCCTGAAGGAGCGCATGTACACAATCCGTATGACGGAAGGTACTTCGATTAAATCTCACTTGGATGAATTTAATTCTATTTTATTGGACTTGGAGAATATTGATGTTGTAATTGAAGATGAGGATCGTGCTATTTTATTGCTTGTCTCTCTCCCTAAATCGTACAAGCATTTCAAAGAAATTATGTTGTATGGTAATAGTAGTGATACCCTTACTTTTGACACTGTTAAGTCAAACCTATTTTCCAAAAAAAAGTTTGACTTTGAAATTAAGTCTAAGGACAAAGGTGAAGGCTTGACTGTAAGGGGTCGTTCACTTGAAACAGAGAGTAGCAATAAAAAATCTAGATCCAAGTCCAAAGGACGTAAGTCCAACAAATCCTGTAAGTACTGCAAGAAGAAGGGTCACGATGTGACTGAATGCTTCAAGTTGAAAAACAAGCAAGAGAGAGAAAAGAAGTCTACTGAAGCTAGTGTTGTTGAAAGTGATTCAGAAGGCGATGTTATGTTATCTGTTAGCTCCGGTGACAAACGGAGCAAAACTGAGTGGATTTTGGACTCTGGTTGTACATTCCACATGTGTCCTCACAAAGACTGGTTCGTCTCTCTAGAACCAGTTGATGGTGGAGTTGTCTTGATGGGTAATGATACCCAATACAAGGTTAGTGGAATTGGAAGTGTTCAGATTAAAACTCATGATAATGTTGTCAGGACTCTTACCAATGTTCGGTATATTCCTGATTAGAAACGCAATCTGATATCCTTGGGCACCTTGGAATCTCTGGGGTGCAAGTACATAGCTGAAGGTGGAGTTCTGAAAGTCATAAAAGGCTCTCTTGTTCTCATGAAAGCTTCTCGATCTAGAAGCTTGTACGTGTTGCATGGCAGTATTGTGAAAGGTTCAGTAGCGGTATCCTCATCGATGTCTGATGCAGATCTCACTCAACTATGGCATATGCGTCTAGGGCATATGAGTGAGAAATGCATGCATCTCCTGAGCAAGAAAGGCCTCCTTGGTGATTCAGGTACGGGTAAATTACAATTCTGTGAGCACTGTGTTTTTGGGAAACAAAAGAGGATTAGTTTCTCTACTGCTACACAGTGTACCAAAGATGTATTGGAATATATACATTCCAATTTATGGCTTTATGGGGACCGACTAAATTCCAGTCTATGGGAGGCTGTAGATATTTCATGTCTATTATTGATGACTTTTCTCGTAAGGTCTGGGTCTATTTCTTGAAACACAAAAATCGGGCTTTTCCTATTTTCAAAAAGTGGAAAATACTTGTTGAGACTCAGACAGGGAAAAAGGTCAAGAAGCTCAGGACAGACAATGGCTTGGAATTCTGTGAGTCAGATTTCAATGACTTCTGTGCGGCAAATGGAATCGCCAGGCACAAGACCTTGCCGGGTAAACCCCAGCAAAATGGTGTTGCCGAACGTCTAAACAGGACATTATTAGAAAGAGCTCGTTGTATGCTCTCTAATGCTGGGTTATGGAAACAGCGTGATTTTTGGGCCGAGGCCGTTTCTACTGCTTGCTATTTGGTGAATAGATCTCCACATTCATCCCTTGACTTCAAAATTCCAGAGGAAGTTTGGTCCTGTTGACTACTTTATCTTAAGAGTTTTTGGATGTCCTGCTTATGCTCATTCCAGTACGGGTAAATTAAACCCAAGAGCTGTCAAATGCATTTTCCTTAGTTATGCCTCTGAGTCAAAAGGGTATCGTCTACGGTCTCCTGATTCTCAGAAAATCATTTTGAGTCGAGATATCACTTTTGACGAAAATGCACTACTTTCTTCTGGAAAAGATTCCAGTACAGGTGAGACGCAGAGTACAGGTGATAAGGTGGAGTTTGAGTTCAGGCCTAATGATAGTATTACTACCACTAATGGTAATAATAAAGATGATGCATCTACAAGTACCGCACCTCTCGTCGAGCCACAACGAGAGTACTCTATTGCCCAAGATCAGCCTAGGAGGACAATTAAAAAACCTGCTAGGTACGCTAGTGACGATGAAACCCACTTGGTTGCTTATGCTCTTTCAGTTGCACAGGAGGTTGATGGTGATCCATCCTGCTATTCTGAAGCTATTTCCTGTGCCAACTCGTCCAAGTGGTTGGTTGCTATGCAAGAAGAGATGGAAAGTCTCCATAAGAATGAGACTTGGGAGCTGGTAGAATTACCGAAAGGTAAACGCCCATTGAGCTGTAAATGGATTTACAAAAAGAAAGAAGGCATTCCTAGGGTTGAGAAAGCATGGTGGAAGGCACATTTAGTTGTTCGAGGTTTTGATCAACGTGAAGGTATTGACTTTAACGAGATCTTTTCCCCAGTTGTTCGTCATACTTCTATACGTGTTCTACTTGCTTTTGTTGCTCTTTTTGATTTGGAGTTGGAGCAACTTGATGTAAAGACTGCTTTCCTACATGGAGAGCTTAATGAAGAACTTTACATGTACCAACCTGAGGGATTTGAAGTTCCTGGGAAGGAACATTGTGTCTGCCGTCTACAAAAGTCTCTTTATGGGCTAAAGCAAGCTCAAAGGCAATGGTATAAGCGGTTTGATGCGTGTATGTTGGGGCAAGGATTCTCAAGAAGCCAGTATGATAGCTGTGTCTATTTTAAAGAATTTTCTAATGGGTCTTTTGTCTATTTGTTTCTTTATGTTGATGATATGCTCATTGCTTCCCCTGATATGTCTCTGGTTGATGACTTGAAGTCTCAACTAAGCAATGAGTTTGAGATGAAAGACCTTGGTGCAGCAAAGAAGATTCTTGACATGGAGATACACAGGGATCGTCAAGCGGGTAAACTTTATCTATCCCAGAAAAAGTATGTTGAGAAGGTGCTTGATCGATTCAATATGTCCAATTGTAAACCCGTGTTTACTCCACTTGGTGCACATTTTAAGGTATCTTCTGGTTCATGCCCTAAGTCTGATGTTGATGTGGCTTATATGTCAAAAGTTCCTTAATCTAGTGCTGTTGGAAGTCTTATGTATGCTATGGTAAGCACTAGACCTGATTTGGCTCATGCTGTAAGTGTTGTGAGTCGCTACATGCATAACCCTGGTAAGGAACATTGGAACGCCGTTAAATGGATTCTACGGTACCTAAAGGGTACTTCGTCTTTGGGCTTGGTCTTTGATCGAAATTCTTCTGCATCTACTGACATTGTGGGCTTTGTAGATTCTGATTATGGTGGTGATCTTGACAGACGTCGATCGCTCTCCAGTTATATTTTCACTCTTTGTAATTGTGCTATCAGTTGGAAAGCTACGCTTCAGTCTATTGCTGCATTATCTACGACTGAGGCGGAATATATTGCAGCCACAAAGGGTGTCAAAGAAGCTACTTGGCTACGAGGTTTGGTTATGGAACTTGGTGTTTCACAAGGTCAGACCGTTGTGTTCTCAGATAGTCAAAGTGCTATCCATCTCACCAAGAATGATACATATCATGCTAAAACCAAACACATTGATGTCAGATACCATTTTATCCGAGATGTTGTAGCTACGGGAGATATAATCGTTCAGAAGATTCACACATTAGAGAATCCAACAGATAGGCTCGCCAAGCCTCTACCTATTACTAAGTTCAAACAGTGTTTGAGTTTAGTCGGATGTTTCAGTTGTTAATTTCCACCGTGAATTTGATCCAAGGTGGAGATTGTTAGAACATGGTTCAAATTATGTGGCTCTAATTAATGCATGGAGACTTTTTCCTCAACCTTCCGCATCGCACCGCATCGCATGCTGTCCACCTCTCTTGCACGTTATTCGCCTTCTGCTCTCTTCCTTACTATTGCCGCATAGCTCTCCTTTTTGTTGTATAAATAGTGTCGTAGCT